ATTAAGTCACAGTTTATGATCATGAGTCTAGTCAAGTCACAGCTGTTCGTCATGGGTCTAGTCAAGTTACAGTTGATCGTCATGAGTCAAGTCTAGTCCCAGTGGATCTTCCTGAGTCAGGTCTAGTCACCGCTGATCTTCCTGAGTCAAGTCTAGTTACAGTTGTTCTTCCTGAGTTCAGTCAAGTCAGGTCACTGCTAATCTTCAGGAGTCAAGTCAAGTCGCAGCTGATATTCATGAATCTAGTCAAGTCACAACTGATCCTCAGGAGTCAAGTCAAGTCACAACTGATCTTCATGAGTCCAGTCAAGTATCAGCTGATCTGCCAGAGCCTCATCAGGTCTCAGCTGTTCATCTCACACTGTTGATTGCACAGCACTGATTGCACACAGCTGTTATCACTCACACATCCCCTATTTAACTCTCACTCTGATCCCATTGCACTGCCGAGTATTGTTTAGCATTTATCAGTTTGATAGCTACACTACAGAGCCCTCGTTAGCTGCCTAGTCTTGCCTTGCCTTGCCTTGCCTTGTCTGTGTTCTTGGTTTTTGCTCTTCGCCTGTTTTCCTGGATTTATCCCTTTAGTCTTGTCCCTCCTGTTTCTGTTTGCCGTTCATCGACCTACGCAAGCCCAAGGACTATTCTTGTGTCTTGCCCGCCATATACCTGTTTGCCACTGTTTGACCCTGCCTGTTTTATGACCACGTCTCTGTCTTCTCCAAATAAACATCTTGCACATGGATCCGCACATCTCACGTCTCGTCAGCCCTGTTACAACGTGAGTATTGCTTATGATTTCTCTTTTAGATCAGAATCAGAATCAGAATCAGAATCAGAATGAGTTTTTATTGCCAGGTATGTTTACACATACGAGGAATTTGTTTTCATGACGTCCACTGAAGTCTCTTAAGAGGTGGCGGCGCAGGCTGCAGAACCTCCCAAGATGGCGACACTTGCCTCGGTTACTTGCGTGGTGGTGGCGCCCAGCAACGCACTTTCTGCCTGTTCTGTTCCGGCCAAGGAGGCTGTCTATAAACTCTCTGCTTATCCTGTTCCGGCCAAGGAGGCCGCCTATGAACTCTCTGCCTGTCCTGTTCCGGCCAAGGAGGCCGTCTATGAACTCTCTGCTTATCCTGTTCCGGCCAAGGAGGCCGCCTATGAACTCTCTGCCTGTCCTGTTCCGGCCAAGGAGGCCGTCTATGAACTCTCTGCTTATCCTGTTCCGGCCAAGGAGGCCGCCTATGAACTCTCTTCCTGTTCTGTTTCGGCCAAGGAGGCCGCCTATGAACTCTCTGTCTACCCTGTCACAGCTATAGAGGCTGTTTGCGAACTCCCCGCTTGTCCTGTCACAGCTATAGAGGCCGTTTGCGAACTCCCAGCTCGTCCAGTCACAGCTATAAAGGCCGTTTGCGAACTCCCTGCTTGTCCTGTCACAGCTATAGAGGCCGTTTGCGAACTCCCTGCTCGTCTTGTCACAGCTATAGA